CAGCTCAATCTCCAAGAAAAATCTCAGCTTTCCAGCTAAAAGTATAGGAAAGGAAACTCTGGGATCCAGAGAGTGTGAGGAAATCCCAGAGAAGAGACATGGAGAAAGGGATACTTTAAGTTAGTGTATGAACCTATACAAATCCTGGTTTCTTGCATAAATTTTACTTGTGTGGAACATCCCCAAACTAGCACAAGAAAGACTCTGAGATCTGAACTACAGCAGACTACCACCCACTCATGTTCCAGACTAACTGCTAGGACAAGATCAAAGCAGCAAAGCAGAGGCTGTGAAAACCGAATTGTCCTTGGAGTCAACTCACCGATGGTCAGATAGAAATTTGTGGTCTGACTGTCTGCTAAAACAAAACCAAACAACATTCTCCAGAGAATTTTAACAGACTCTAGCATCTAACAACATAGTATTCGAAATGTCTAGGAGATAAATCCAAAATATTCAAAATACGAAGACCCAGGAAAATGTCACCAATTGTCAGAGGGAAAGGAAGATTAACAGATGCTACTCAGGGGGCTGGGGATTTAGCTCAGCGACATAAGCTCCTGACTTGCAAGCAAGCACCCAGTCGTGAGTTTGATCCCTGGTACCGATAAAAAAACAAAAAATTAAAAAATTTTTAAAAAGTAAAAAAAAAAAAAAAAAAAAAAAAAAAAACAGATGCTACTCAAACATGGTTCACAGGCTGGAATTATCAGGTAAAGATTTGAAAGCAGCAATTGTAACCACACTCCATGAGGTAAGATTAACATGCTCTTAAAATTAGTGGAAATAGTAAATTATCAGTAAAGAATCAGAAACAAACAAAAAAGAACCAAACAGAAATATCAGAATTGAAAATGACAATATCTGAAATGACACCATGCAGTGAAAAAGATTCACTGATTAAGCTCAATGGCAGAATAGAGAAGAAGTGAACTTGGAGATAGATCCATAGAAAAAAATGCAGCCTGAAGAATAGAGGGAAAAAACGAAAAACACAGAATTTCTTCTCTGGAAAAGTATCAAAAAGTGCTTTAAAACCTAAAATGAGTTAGAGGCCAGTGTAGGTTACATAAGCGAGTTCAAGGCCAGCTTGTACTACACATAGTGAGAGTCTGTCTCCAAACAAACATAAAACAAAAAAAGTGCAACAGAAAAAATAAATGCTTTAAGGATGACAAACCATTTTTCTTAAGTTTATTTACATTTTAATAATTATATATATATATACATATATATATAACTATTAACAGCAAAAATTACCACTACCAGTTTTTAAGTAATCAACATGATATACAGGATTTATATATAACATAAGGGTAGGGCTGGGGATTTAGCTCAGCAGCATAAGTGAGTTCAATCCCTGGTACCGATAAAAAGGAAAAAGACCAAAAAAAAAAAGATAAATAAAATAACATAAGGGTAAAGGTAAAGGAAATTGGTCATTAGGCTTCTATATTTTGTTTGAAATGGTAAAAAAAATAACTCAACAGACTATGAAAAGTTAGCTCTGTAAATCAACCAACTAAAAATACAATACAAAGAGATAACAGCCCTCAGAAGATGAATGACTACTAAAAATTACTTAATTTAAAAAAAATAGGTAAGAGGAAACAAAGAAACAAAAATCAAGAGGGAAAAAGATAAAACAGTAAAATGGAAAATCTAAATCTGCATCAGTAGATGGTTTAAGCATATTAATTGAAAAAGACTATCAGACTGGATTTCACAAAAAAGGGACAAAATACAGTATGTTATTTTCAAAGCACTCATATTAAATATAATGCCACTGATCAGCTGAAGTTAAATAATAGAAACAATAAACCATGCAAATCCAAATCAAAAGAAACCTGCGTAGCTATACTGACATCAAAATAAATACCAGAACAGGGATTATTACTAGGGATAAAAAAGGACACTGCATACTGATAAAACCGGTAACTTACTATGACTTAACCCTAACTCTGGACAATACTAAAAACAGAGGGCTGGGGTTTTAGCTCAACAGGGTAAGCAGCTGCCTGGCAAGTGTGAGGTTGTGAGTTCAATCTCTGGTACCAAAAAACGAACAAACAAAACTAAAAACAGCTCAAACTATTAGAAGCAATTACTATAATGACTGAAAAGAGTAAAAGACATGCTCATAAAAAACACTTGGAGATTTCAACATTCCTCTCTCAATTATTAAAACACTAAATCAATACATAATCAGCAAGGCAAATAATACTAACAGTCAACTTGATCTAACTGACATTTATAGAACAATTTATACAACAACAAAATACAAACTTTTTTTTTCCAGACAGTCTCCCTATTAATTCAAGATAGCTTCAAACTCGTGGCAATTCTCTTGCCTCAATCTCCCAAATGTTAGGATTACAGGTATGTGCCAAGCCCAGCTATTATGCAGTTTAAAAGGTGTACTTAGTTTATAAAGATGAACACACTAATTTTACAATATTTCAATCTCTTCTGTGGCCTTGTTTCTACTGCTGAGTACTAAATGCTATCTTAGTTTTATTTCTAAACCCTATGAACAGTCAATAAATACAGTTCTATTTATGTTATTTTTTTCCAGGGTGTTTAGTTTTTTAAAAAACAGACATATCCAATGCAGATCTTTGTGATCATTTATGTAGTGTGATGTTTCACTATCTATATACAATGTACAATGATTGTATTAAAGCAACTGGCATATCCATTACCCTAAACATTTATCATCTATTTTTACCAAGAATAATTTCAAATCCTTTCTAATAGTATTTTTAACTATATCTACCATTTTCTCTATGGTATTATGGAACATTGGAATTTATTTCTCCTATCCAACTACACTCCTAGTAGGGTTTTTTTCATTGGTAGATAACGACCACTGAAGTGAAAATTATATGGAACAAAAACGAAAATAGAAATGATTTTGAAAAAGAAGTTTGAAGGACTCATGTTGTACTATTTTAACTTACTTTATAGTTACAGCTTTAAGACCAAACAGTATTGGTGAAAGCATAAACAGATTATCAATGGAAGAGAAATGGGAGTTTGGAAATACATTCAAGTAAGGCATTATGACTTCTGATGTAAGTGAAAAAGGCCATCAGTCAAGAAAAGAGCCTTTTTAATAAATGAAAAAAGTAATGCTGAAATTCAAATGCAAAACCTCAGCTTCAACCCATGCCTCAGGTTTTTTCCCTTTTATGGTTGGGGATGGAACCCAGAGGTATTCTATCACTAAGTTATAGCCTCAGGCCATTTCATTTTTTATTTGACACAGTCTTACTCAGTTTTGCCTCAGCCTTTCGAGGAGGTGGGATTACAGGTGTGCCTCACTGTGCCCAGTTTAGTGCCTGAAATCTTATTACCATATTAATGAGGCTCAGAACAAGTCACCTCCTTCACCCACTATATGTCCATAAGACATATAGCAATCATCAGCATTCCTTTTTAAAAAAGATACGCTGATGCAACGTAGAGGACAGACTGATGTAAAGACTAGTGAGAAAGATGCTGATGCAGTATGTCGCCACAGTCTAAGCAAAACAATTAATTCTTGCAGAAGAGACAACAGAGATGGTGAAGAGAAAACTTAAAAGATCTGTCAGAAGGACTGGGTTGATGTGATGAGTTTATTTAACAAGATAACACTTGCCTGAAAAAAATACAAGAACTGGGGCTGGGGATTTAGCTCAGTGGCATAAGCTCCTGCCTTGCAAGCAGGCAGTCGTGAGTTCGATCCCTAGTACCGATAAAAACGAAAAAGACAAAAAAAAAAAAAAAATACAAGAACTGTAAAGCACTCAGAATTGGGGAAAGTATACATAAAACCTTACTAAGATGGCCACACCCTACTAATGTTTTTGAATCTAACACTGACTTTCCAGGATTCTATTTTGCTTGTGTAATGACTGAGAATTGTTTAGAACTGCATTTATTGCCACTTACACTATTATATAGTATACCAGTTGTTAGTATCACCTTAATAATTAAAGGCATCTCAGCCCAGAAAAAAGCTGACAAACACATTACAAAATAATGTTTAAATAAAAAAATTAGTTTCGTTCTTTAAAATAAATTAATAAAATAGTTTGGTTCTTAAAGCACCACCCTGTTATTACGAAAGAGCTCAGCAGAAATATAAACTTTAGAACCAGACAAACATAGATTTAGATTCCAGTCATGTTGCACTTACTAGCCTCATGGATCTATTACTCTGTCCTATCACTGGTTTATTGAAGGTAATAATAATGCATATCTCACAACACTGCTACTAGTTGCTAGCATGGAGGTGATAACTACATTATTAAAAAATAATTTTTCCTTGGCATGTTCCTTAAAATACTTTTTTACTTACCTGTTAATTGTTTAAAGATGGCAATGCTTCTCAAAACATTTCCAAATATTGAACCAGAATTAAGTGAAACACACCCCTAAAGATTTGGGTATATACTACAGTTCAGAGCCAGTACAAAACTGCAAAGTTAATTAGATTACAAAAGCTATACACAACTACTTGGTAGCACAATGTTAATTTTTAGGTAAAATTACTATGTCAAAAAAATATGGGCCAGGAATATAGCTCAGCAGTACAGCCCCTGCCTGGAAAGTGCAAGGGTGGGAGTTTGATTCCCGGTATTAAAAAGAGAAAAAGAAAAAGAAACTATGCTAGGTTTATATGATAGGTATTGCAATCATGCTTCATACCCAAAAGTTATTTCAAAATGACTCAGATTAGAGAAGTTCAGACTGTTCAACTTGTTTTAAAACATGGGGCAAAAAATAAAAAGCTAAACAACTCCCCTCCACACACAGAATTATATAACCTAAACCCTGAACTTTCCTACCAGCAAGGTAAATGTTAACGAAAAGGACCCAAGATGCTTGCTTATACATTTTGTCCCCCAAACTTGCAGACCTCCTGCAAGCTAAAAAAAGCTTAACAATTTAGGCTTATAGTTAAAAAAAATAACAAAGGAAAGTCATAATTGTTAATCTATTTAAAATTTTACCTGTTTTCTTCTTTTTATTAGAAGTAGCATCCAACACAAAGGAAGCAGAGATGGTTTTATAAATATCCTGACTGCACACTCCAGAATCATCTTCATCGGAAGAAAAGGAAGATAAATGTTCCAAATTTTTAAGTTTGTTATCGACTTTTTCTGATGGACTGTTACTCCCCATTTCTGTCACTAAAGGCGTGAGTGTTGTGGTTGAAATCTTTGGAAACTGTGGGGGGCAAAGTGTACGGGCAATCTGGGTCCCTGGTCTTCTGGTCTTGTTAGGCATTCGGACTGCAAGAGTGGAAAACTGCTGCTTGGGGCCAGATTTCAGAAAATCTAAGAAAGAAGCAATAAATCCTGTTTTGACTTCTGGCTGTTTTTCTTCTACTTCTTTGATCTTCTGTCTCATTTTTTCTTGATGCTGATCATCATCATGGCAGCTCTCAGAGGAAGGAGGAGTATATGGTAGATACGTATCTGTTCCCCTGGCATTTTGCCGTTTGCCTGGGGCAGGTCTTTTCGGCTGTTTCTGATTACTGATGTCTTCCTCTTTAATTTGCCCTTTCCCTTTAACCTTTTTCTTCAGAAGGTTAAGATGTATTAAATCTTGGTTTTCCTCTTCAAGCTTGACACTGATTGCATCCCCAGGTTGGGCCACAGCCAACAGTGCAAGTGCATTTCTAGTAGCGTCCATTGCTACACTGCTGTCATCACCCCCTAAAGTAAATTCACTTTCTGACGTAGCACTCTCTCCACTTATACTCCTACTACTGGAAACAAACTCTTGGTTTCTGTTATTATTTAATGTGTTATCAACAGGAACTTCACTGTCTTCCTCAGGCTCATGATTGGCAGCAGACTGTTTCTTGAATGGGCCACAACCTTGCTCCTGGACTTCATGGCTTGCTCCAACACCTGCTGACATTACTTTAGTTGGTATACTTTGAGCAGATGTATCAATGTGTTGTTGATCCAGGGTCATTTTTGACTGAAGGGTTGGTACTGGCGAAATGTTCACAGTCACCTGATTTCCATTTAGGGAACTATCATTTAGATTCTGTGGCTTTCCTACTGTAGCTGTTATGGAGTTAAAATCTGATGTCACATGGCTGACATTTAATGGCTGTGGAAAATGAGACTTAGAATCACCACCTTCAACAGTCTGCATGGTTTCATTTGGAGTTGACTTGGAAAAATCAGAAGGTGTAACTCCACAAGCTGCTGCTGTAGCAGCTAAGATGTCATCTACATTTGATAAAATATTTCTTTCATCACTCAGAAGCATTGCCTCTGGGAAACATATTGATCCAAGAGAAACAAACTGAGCCTTTGAATCTTGTTGATTTGTTTCACTGAAATTGCCCTTTGTTGTCAAATGTTGTAATGGTTTTGAAGATTCGGCAAGGTCTAGTTTCATAATTTCAGAATTCTGAGGATGGAGTTGCTGCTGAGGATGATCATCATTACTCTGAATAATATGACCGTCCATCTGCAGGAAAGGGTGTACTATTTGTTGAGGACTCTGGACACGCTGTACTTGTAAAGATGCCTTTACTTGTCCTAAATTTGCCTGCAGTATTGATTGCTGAAGAATCTGTAAATCACAGGTGGAATCTAAAAGGACCTGTGTATTAGTAAGAGATGCCTGATGTCCATGTCCTAATGCATGATTTGGAATCTGAATCTGAGGCGAAGCATTAATTACTTGATCATGCTGTTCCTGGACCTTGGTTTCATGTACCTTATGTATAAGAGGATGCTGCTGGTTTAAGTCTTTAGTACTCAAACTTACTTGTGGAGTTTGCATTAAATTAGCAGCCTTCTTAAGATCAAGAGTTGCTCCATTATTAGCCGGACCAATTTGCTGGCTAAGCTGTGTCACTGAACCAACCATGTTTTCTTCTTTCTTTGGCCCTTCCAGAGGAATACCAACAACTTGATCTTCAAGATGAGAATTGCTTTTAATTACACCCTGGGAATATCTGTCATCTGCTTTTGACACCTTGTAAGTTGATTCTGGAGCATTAATTTCCCCATCTGATAGCCTCTGAGTTGAAGGCTCAAGAGATGCTTGTGACTGCAGTGCCTGTAACTCTTGCATTGGAAAGTCACCTTCTTGCTTAGAAGATGTGTACACATTTGAGCCAAGTTTTCCTTCAGCATAAGACTTTGAATCAGGGGAAGGTACGTTATTCTGTAATGCATGACAATGTGTAGAGGATGCAAAAGATGACTGGACAGCAGGCAAAAACTTCTGGGGCTGGGGAGATGATGACCCCTGAGTCTGGGTATTTTGGGAAGAATGCATAGGAATGTAATTTTGGGTTGGGCTAGAATCTGACAAATTTTGGGGCTGAGAGGCAGAAGAGTAAGATAGAGAAGGGGCTGTTAATGTCAGGGACTGCCCTGAGGCATAGCTTTCTGAAGGACTAACAACTGACAAAACCTGTGATTGAGATGAAAAACTAACCTGTGTCTGGCTAGCTGGTGATAAACCCTGAGAATGACCAGATGAATAACTTTGAGACTCACTGACTGAAGAAAGATCTCTTGTTTGAGCAGGGTAATTCTCATTTGTAACTGAAGATAACACTTCTTGTTGATTGGATGAATAACTAACTGTCTGATTTTCAGAAGTTATAGGCTGAGATGACCCAGAAAAGGTTAATGTTTTATACAAGGATGGCAATTTCTCAACCTTGCTGGGCCTGTAAACTTGTGAATGAACAATAGATGGCACATTATGTGGCTGCACTAAACCATAATTTTGGGACTGACTAACTGATAAAAGGCTTGGTAGCTGTGCTGTAGAATAGATTTGTGCTTGACCCGATATTACAGAACTCTGATTATGTAAAGGTTTGCAATAGCTTAGTGTTTGCACAGGAGGGATTGTATTTTGAGGTTTTTGGGTCTTAGTTGATGTTAGTGCTTGTTTTGTAGAACAACTATTTATTTTTGTAGTAGGAGGATACCCTGATGATGGAATTGCAGATGCGTAAGACTGAGCAAGTTCTACTGAGACCTGCGGAGTCTTCTGCTGCAAACCTCCATTGTTCACCTGAGTAGAATCTCCAACTGGGCTACATGGTAAAGATGACTGCCTGGTTGTTTCCTGAAAATTAACCACACTTGTATTTGCTAGATAACTATGTAGGGAATGTTGTGAACCAGTCAGTTGTGCCTGAATAGACTGAGTACCTGAAGGCCGCTGATGGTGTTTAATAACACTACATTCTCGAAGAAGAGCTCTTTCAATGGAAGCAGTAGAACTAGAGAAGAGAGTTGAACTGTAGGCTTGAGGAGGTTGCTGGACTCCCCCCAGTGCTGAAGGCAACAAACTAAATTGAGGTTGTAAAAGATGGGGCGCTGACTCTTGAGCTGAGCGATATGTTGAAGACTGAGGTGGTACACTGTTACTTAACGCAGAACTGCCCAGGCGTTCAAATGCCAAAGCAGTTGGAATAGTTCCCTGGGAAGTCTTAATTTGTAGCAAAGGATCATGAGGATTTAAAATTCCACTTGATGTAGTGTTAAAAGTTGAGTCTTGAAGCACCAAAGGTGAGGTTGTAACAAAGTTTCTATTGCTAAAGGTGGTAGGATGCTGATAAGCAGAGAGGGCAGATGGTGGAAGAGTTCCAGTGGTTGGCAAAGGTCCAGTAACAAACTCAGTAGCTGCTGAGGAATGCATGCCTATGAAGAGAAGGTACAAAGATTTTAATGTAATGTAAGGGAAGGTGTAGCAGAAAATAACCTCTCCCCTCCCGCCACTGTACTTTAGTTTCTGTTAGTTCCCCATGTAATCTCCAGTTTACTTTAGTTCCTGTTACAACTCCTGTTATTTCTGCTTCTTAGAAATAGCTAGTCAGTGTTTAGCATAGCTGGCCACTACAATGCGTAGTGTAAGAACCAATCAATAATTACCAAATACTCTGCTTCTTGCTTGCAAATCCTATAAAAACCTCTCTCCCTGAGCCTTTGAGGTCCAACGTATTTTAGAGGTCTGTCCCCATTGACGTTAAATAAATCTATTTACAATCTTGGGTGATGTTTCAGTGTTTCTGTTTGCTGTAGCAAAGGTACATTTTAATGTGATTTATAAACATATAATAAATGTTTTCATAGTACTAACATATAACCCTCAACTTACCAATGTTTATGGGCTGAAAATCCTGAAAAATTAGTTTTGTATCTAAAAATTGAAAATTACATTTTAAAATATGTAGCTTGCTTTCTTTTTTTTTTTTTAATTTTTTTTTGGTCTTTTTCGTTTTTACCGGTACCAGGGATCGAACTCACGACTGCCTGCTTGCAAGGCAGGCACTTATGCCACTGAGCTAAATCCCCAGCCCCTGTAGCTTGCTTTCTTAAAGTAAAAAGTTACAAAGGTAGTATCAATTTTTATTTATAATTGTAATATAAGTGAGTTTGTATTTTGTTGAACAAAGCCGTATGAAAACAAAGAAACCAAGAAAAATAAATGCAATTTCTAGTGATTAATATACTCCAAGTTCTCAATGCAAAATACCAACAAATAATTGAAACTGAAACATCAACACTAAACTGCCTATATTTAATGACAAATAAAAGTAACATTTCCATTTACCAGAATATATTCATTTCAAAGATCTCTTGCAGGACCAGGGATTTAGCTCAGTGGTATAAGCGCCTGCCTGGTGAGAGCAACGTGAGTTTGATCCCCGGTACAAAATCAAAAACAAAAACAAAAACTCTTGCATTTCAGTATTGATTTCCTATGAACAACTTCCAAATAACAATAAATGCAAGTGTATTATGAAAGGATCATCACAAAATAACAAGATTACCATTTCAGGATAGCATTCTCTTTTAGGGGGAGGGGATAGGATCTCACTATATAGTCCAAACTGGCCTTGAACTCACTCCATAGGCCAGGCTTGCCTCAAACTTGCAGCAATTCCTTGCCTCAGACTTCTGAGTCCTGGGATTACAGAGGTGCACACCCCCCCCACCCCCCCACCCCCGCTTAGATACCATTCTAGCTACATACAGAAAGAATAAAAATGTATACACTGTTGTGACCCAAAAGTTCTACTTCTAGGAACACTGTACAAGGTATTCATTACAGCTATTTCTAAGTACAAATAACTAAAATGTCCAAAGACAAGACAGAATCAAATCATTAGGCCATATCCTAAAAAACAATAGTGATTAGGTATATATACAATGGGTGGTCAAAACACACAGTGAATGATTACATTTTAAAAATGTGTTACAATAAAATGACACATTGCCATTAATTTCCTTCAAAATGCTCCCCCTCATTTCGAACAGCCTTAACACATCTTTCTCAACATTTGTCCTTAAGAGAGATGATCAAAACTACTGTGGCTGCTGCCAAGTACTATGCAGCATATACAGGGCAGGTTACTAAAAGCTTTATGTTATATCTTTATGCACTCTATTCACTGGACATAACTCTGTAAAACTTTTGCCACATCTTCAAAATAAAAATGTCTTTTCTTTTTGGTACTAGGGATTGAACTCATGATCTAGCGCTTGCCAGGCAGGCATTCATGCCACTGAGCTAAATCCCCGGCCCATAAAAATGTTTATTAAAGGTAAATATTCTGAACTGATTCAGAATGTCAAGGCACCGACAACAATACAATTAAGACCCTCACAAAAGCACTTCCAGAACTGGTACACAAAGTTGCAAGAAGAGGATAGATACATGTACTCAAAGCAAGGGAAAGTATTTTGAGGGGGATTAATGGCAATGTATCTTTTACTGTGATAAATTTTTAAAATTTAAACATTCACTGTGTTTTTGTATTTTAATATAAAGATAACCAAAAAATAAATAAATATCAAACTGATAACTAATTTCTCTTTAAAAGTGTGAAACTGGCATTAGGCACTATCATTTCCCCCTTTACACACATTTTTGTTGTTGTTTAAAATGTTTTATAGTAAATGTCCATTAAGAATTTTATTTCCAGGGCTGGGGATTTAGCTCAGTGGCATAGGCACCTGCCTTGCAAGCAGGCAGTCATGAGTTTGATCCCTGGTACCGATAAAAAGGAAAAAGACAAAAAAAAAAAAAAAAAAAAAAAAAAAAATCAAAACAGTACTGCTAGTACAAAAATAAAGATTCTAGTGGCACTTAACACTCAAAGTTAAAAAATACTACATTTACAGGTGCCAGAAGAGATTTCTGAGATTTATCTACTTAAAGTCCCTTACTCTAGCAATAAGAAAACTATGGTCTGCAGTGGTAATGTGACTTGTTAAAGATTATAGGGCTACTTGGTGGTTTTCATGAATTTCTTATCAACTTTCGCTACTCCTCTTTACCAGGTATACCCTTTTGTGTGTTTTGCGGGGAAAAGGTTTAAAATATTCAAGGTAGACAGAAGTAAAGAAATGAAATTTGAAGTTACAAATACATAACTGATTTGGTTATAAAGGTTATTCTATCGTTAAGAATATGTTTTCTGTTAAATATATTGCACTAGCTAATGAACCCACTGTTGTTACAGTAATAACTGATGCTACAGTTACACCTAGAATAAAGAAAAGGAACTAGTTACTAAGGTGGGAGAAGGCCTTAAAATAGTGGGTATGAGTTTCTATTACTTGAAAATCTTCTATCCTGTAGCGCAATAAAGGATTTTTCTCATTTGACTTCTGCATGACAGATTAGTGAAGAGTGACAGAAGCTAGCAAATTTACCACAGTATATCAACAGAAGACACTGTGAAAGGCACTCAATACTCATGTTCACCCTCAGACATTCCAGCTAAAGATGTTCTTGATCCTAAACAGGTATGGTGGTGCATACCTTTAATCCCAGCACTTGGGAGGCTGACACAGTGAGACCCTGCCTCAAACAAAAAGCAGAACAAAAAACCCCCAAAACACAAAAAAGAAAGACTCTCCTTATCCTGACACATTAAAACCAATACCTTCTTCCCACTAATAGTATACTTGTGTATGTATGTTCTTATATTGTTTCCCAAAGAGGGTATACTAGTTAGGTCCAGTTAAATGTGCATAAAAACTTACCACTTTTTTTCAATGTGGTCTTATGACAATACAATTTGTGGTACTATGGAAAAATGAAGATCACTGAAATTTCTACCTGACTAGCCCAAGAGTCCAAGGCCCTTCTAATGCAGTTCAATTATAGGCCCAGATACAAATTATAAAAGCAAATATTAAAAAAAAAAATTTTTTTTTTGAGACAGGGTCTATGTAGTCCAGGCCTCACTCACAGTGATCCTCCTGCCCCAGCCTCCCAAGTGCAGGGATTACAGATGTACATCATCATACCTGGTCAATATCCACCCCCCCCCCCCGTACTGGAGATCAAATTCACAGCCAGGCAGGTGCTTATGCCACTGAGCTAAATCGTCAGCCAACATGGTCAATTTTTTAAAAATTTGAAATCTAAAAAAATTACAAACAAGCATACAGAGTTCTGTAACCAAATTACAGAAAGTGTTGCTTCAGACCTGAGTTAAAAGCCTTCCTACCTTCTTTAAAAGTCAAAAATATTAACGAACTGTTCATCTATTCCTTTTTTCCTTTGTTTCTTTCCTCCCTCCTTCTCCCTCTCTCTTTTTTCTTTCCAAGAGTAGAAAAATTTATTGGGGAAAAGGAATAGAAAATAGCAATACCTTCTGAGAGACAAGAGGGATCCTTTGTTTTTATTTTAAGATAAATTCTTAATATTAAGCTTCAGCACTAATGTACTGATAAGCAGAAAGTTAAACAGTAAGTACATGAAATGTATTTCTGGAAGCAAAAAGTGAAGCCAGTCTTTTTTAAAAAACGTTTTACACCAATAATTATCCCGTTAGAAGTAAAAATAAGTCTTGCTACACATGCTGAGAAGCTCTATTAATGGAATTCACATCAGAATGATAAAATATTATTTCTTATAAAACTTTAACAATCTTCTCAAATATGGTATGATACAGTTTCCTTAAAATCAGTGCCCCAATCCTCTAATTTTATACAAGGTAAAAGTTGGGCATACAAATAATTTTCCCCCCAGATATGGGGGACTGAACCCCGGAGTCTTGTACCATTGAGCTAATCCCTTGTCTCTCTCTCTCTTTTTTTTTTTTTTTTGGTACCGAGAATTGAATTTGTGACCACGCACTTGCAAAGCAAGCACTTATGCTGCTAAACTTATTCCCCAGTCCCTCGTTATCCTTTTTAAGACAGCGTCTTGCTAAATTTTCTAAGGTGGCCTTGAAATTGCAATCCTCTTGCTTCAGGCTTCCAAATACCTGGTATTACAGGTAAGTACTATTATAAGTGGGTTAAAATAATTTGAAGAGAAATCATTGAAAAGTGAAATTTAAAAAAATAAAATATAAAAATGTACATATTGATATTATTATAAATGGGTAAAATATAATATCAACTTATCACGGTTTTTATTAGTGATTTAATCTGTTTAATTAAGAATAACTCTACAAAGAAAGAATAACTCTATATACCAATAATAATTAAATGACTCCCAAGATTAATTTTACTATACCAGCTACTCAGCTTGAAGTCATTAAACAAAATTTAATCTTTGCTTCTTTCAAACAGACAAGCACTTAAACTGGCAAAGTCAAAAACAACTTTATATCAAGGTTTATCTTAAATAATTATCAACCTTTCAATATGAACCTGTTAGTTTTCATAAGACTGTTAAAACAGAATTTCAACAGTTATCTGTATCCGCCCTAAAACTCTAAGAGCCAGGAGAATGGTGGTACATGCCTATAATTTCAGCACTCGGGCAGCTGAGGCAGAAGGATCACAAGTTTGGGGCACGCATGGACTATACAGTAAACTCAAGGCCAGCATGAACTACAAACCAAAAACCAAAAAATAAAAAATCAAACAAATGAAAAAAGTGTATAACAGATGCTAACTTTTAAAGTTTACTGGAAAAATCAATCATTACTATCACTCTCAGCCACACCATAATGACTAGGACATTAAAGGTACATTTCTGTTACATATTTTTAAAGAACTTAAAATTTCCAAAAACAAAGAATCTTACCTGTCTGCCAGGATGGAGCCCTGAATTGTGGTAGAAGAGTAGTTCCTGAAGAAGCAGCCTGAGCAGTTCGGGACTCAATAGTGGAGAGAAAACTCATCACGGAAGATTCTTTACTGTTAGTGCTGGCACTGTTCACACTTGTCTCAAATAATCCTGAAAGCCCTACAGTGGAATATAAACCCCAAAGTAAAATATTTATTTACAAAAATTCTATTCCTATCTTAGTCCAAAAAACAATTTCTGAAAACTGAGTCCAAAAAATTCTATTACACTAGTTTTACTTTAAAATAGCAAACAAACATTAGTTTAACCAAGCATCATAATTTAAAATCTCCAAAGATGCATAAGATTTCTCAATTATACCCAAATACTCTGTATCAGTAAAAAACAGAAGTTCTTCATCTCATTTCTACTTTAACATTTCCCATGGCATACTCACACCCTGCATATTAAATCTGTAACCTAAAACATAAACACCGTTTTTTCTTCTTCTTCATTCACTGTACCCTGGCTGGGAGGACACTTTACAAGAGAACTATACCAGCTGGCTGAGGTGTGGCAGCATATGCAGGAAGCTGATGAGAGGCTGCAAACGTCTGTCTCTGGAGATCTGGTTCAGATTGGGAGGGATGTCCTTCTTCATAGCTTAAACTAGAGGATAGTAAAAAATCAGTAACCCAAAACACACAGTCTGCACTATACCATCAAACATTTTTCAAGGACAACTATCAAAAGCAGGTCTAGCCTCAGCCAACGACCATGTGGAACTGGCAAAAACAAAACAGATTATAGCAGTAAAAGGCTTTGACCAAGTTTTTGATCTATGGATAAATTTCACAAGTTCACAAGTCCACTGTCCCAATGGTGAAAATGTACTGACAATATACAAAAAGGAACAATGACTCATCTTATAGTATATACCTTTATTTAACTTTCCCTCAGGCTTTTTACTAGAACTAACAGGATACAGTGCAGAGAGTAATATCCTAGGAAACAGGAGAGCTGAGTTCACTGTCTAAGCTCTACTGCTGGCTTAGAGTGATTTATGTAAGTGACTCATTACTGTTGAGCTAATTTATTAAACTATATGAAAATGGGACCAAAGAAAATAAATTCAAAAGCCTCTTTAGTTTGACATTCTATGGAATATCAATAAGTCAAATAAATATATACTGCTTCTCAATAACTCAAACATTCTGAAAATAATTCACAAAATAACTTTTCTTTTTAATTTTTATTTTGAATTATTTTAAGCCCATAAGAAATCAACTAGTACAATAAACACCCATACAGGGTACCTACCAGTTAAGACTGAACAATGATTAACATTTTAGTATATTTATCTTTCTTTAAATTGCTTAAAATAACTAGCAGACATCATGGCCCTGCAGCCCTAAAAACTTCAGCTGTATCTTCTAGGAATAAGGTCCTTCTCTTTTCTTTTGTTTAATTTCATGGGGAAAAAAAGAACAATATTTCATAACAGAATGGAGAGTAACAGTAGTTAATACATTGTGCATTGTAATATTTAAAGTAGTCACTCAAAGTACAAGTTATGCGAATAAAAAATTCTCCAGTCAATATTAGCACAAACCTTCCTTTTTCAATGAACTAAGAGACATGAATTATAACTTTTTCTCCCCCCATAAGGCCCTTCTCTTATATGACCAATCATTAAACATAAAGAAATTTAACATTAATTCAATAATCATTCAAAATATAATGCATATCCAAATTTTCCCAACTGTTGTCAAATATCTGGGATTTTTGAGCTCTTTCTAACAAAGATCTAATAAATACAGATTTTGAGTTTGGGGCTATACAACTCAGTGGTAGAGAGCTTGCCTTACCTCAGTTCAATTGCAGTCCTACAACAGCAGCCAGTGAAGGGAGAGAGTAAGAATTTTATTAGATTTTGTCTTTAACGTAGGGTCAGTGCTCCCACCTTGCCCATATTCTCAGATCCATTTTATCTTGATTTCATGACTTTAACTTATTTTTTGAGACATTCAGGTCAACTACATCACAGGATGTCCCAAATTCTGGATTCTTCTTATATGAGGTGGCAAATAATGTTAGTTTGTAGAACACTGAGGTAGCTGATACTTTGAGGTATTTCAGGTACTGCTTGTCGTATCATTCCATGTAGTTACTGTTTTTTACTACTTTGAAATGAGGTAGGCAACTGTAGAGAATTTACAGTGCAAATACTGTATCTTATTCTCAATAGCCAACAGTTTTAGTTTTACCCATCTATGATCCTTAATTCAATGATTACACTGATAACTGTAGTTAGCATTCTTCTGTAAAATCAAACAGCTTATTTTTTCCCTTCTCGTGTGTATAAAAACATATTTACATATTTTAGTATATTTGAAAAATACACATCTCTTTCACCCTGTCCAAATATCAATTTAAAAAAATCAAAGATCTACATAGAAGACCTGAAACTTTGAAAACTGCTAAATGAAAATACAGAGGAAACACTTGAAGCCATAGGCACAGGCAAAGACTTCCTGACTAGACTCCAACAGCACAGGAAATAATATAGTAAGAACCAAAACCGAGACTATGTCAAATTGAAGTTTCTGTACAGCAAGGGAAATAAAGGAAAGGGAAAGCCTCCATACAGAGTAAGAGAATCTTTTCTTTGTCAGCTGTTCTTCTGACAGGATTAATATCTGTAATAGATGAGGCTCAAAGAATTGAATACCAAAAAACAAACAGAGAAAAAAACCCCAAAGAGCCCAATCAATAAATAGGCAAATGAACTGAACAAATACTTCTTAAAAGAAATATAAGTGGTCAATAAGTATATGAAAAAATCTTCAACCTCTTTAACATACTAGGGGAATGTAAATCAAAACTACATGGCATGGTAGTACATATCTATAATTCCAGCTGTATCACTTAGTACACATTTGAAGTAATTAAAGTCAGGACAGTATAGAGATAGCTACATGGCCATGTTTATTGCAGCATAATTCACTATAGTCAAGATATGGAATCAGCCCAAGTGCCCATCACCAAATGAAATAAAGAAAATGTGGCATATATAAACAATGGAGTATCATTCATTCAGCCATAAGGGACAAAAATTTGTCACTTACAGGAAAATATAATCTAAAGTGCATGTTAGGCAAAATAAACCAGACTTAGAAAAACAAATATTGCATGTTCTCAATATATGGAATCTTAAAAGACAATGAGAACATAGATGGGAGATTATTACTATACAAAAGGAAGGGACTAAGACTATTACTATATAAAAAGAAGGGACTAAGAGTGAGAAAGAATAATAGGGGCAATACAGGGTGGGTAACGGGTAATAGATATGACCAAAATATACACATTGCCCTTCCTGTGAACTGGCAGAAGCCAGGATGGGTGCAGGAAGAGTATGAAAGAAGCCAGTTCACACTTCCTGTGAGCCAGGAGAATCAAACCCCCCCCCCCAAACCATAAGCAACAGGCTGATCTGGAGAACAGACTTGAATTGATAGCAACTGAGAAACAAAAGCAACAAAATGCTTGTATTGTCTGATTGACTTTGCAGGCCTAAGACTGGTGGTCTGAGCATCCCTTAGGAGGAGAACAGTATGTAATATAGCAATATTTGCTATATTAGGAATTATGTTTTATATGGCAATATTATTAATTAGATATAGGAGATAGATTTTGTTTCTGTTTGAAAGATTCCATTTTAGGATATACTTCTTTTTTTTTTTTTTAAACTCAGAATCAACTTTGACTGAGGAGATATGGGGGAGTACCTAATGTCATTTTTTAAATCCAATATTGTTGTGTTTTGTTTTGTTCTGGTTTATTATTTTGTTTTATTCAATGTTCTGTTTTGGTTTTATTGTTTTGTTTTATTTGATGTTACTACTGGACAACTATCTTGAAAATAACCAGATATATTATGGTAACCAATGTTGACTTTCTATTATCCTGTCTTGAAGTTCTGTACCACTTTCACTGTTTTGTTTTGATGGTTTTATTGCTTTATTTTGTTAGGATTTATGCTCTTTAAAATTAAAAAACATGGGGCTGGGGATTTAGCTCAGCAGCGTAAGCGCCTGCCTTGCAAGCAGGCAGTCGTGAGTTCAATCCCCGGTACCAATTAAAAAAAAAAAAAAACCACTAAAATTAAAAAACAAAACAAAAAAAAGAGAAACTCTCCCAAAATGTGAGATTAGGGGAAAGGGCAGGACAAGAGTTGATACAAGAGGACTAAAAATGATTAAGGTATCTTATATGCAGGTACAAACCTGCCAAAGTGAAACTCATTAATCTATATAAACAATATGTATTAAGAATAAGAGGTGAAGGCAGGTGTGGTGACACATGCCTATAATCCCAGGAAATCAGTCTCTCTCTGCACACACACACACTACACACACACACACACACACACACACACACACACACGCACACAGACTCATGCTCTCACTCTCAACTCATCACCAGAGACTCCTGATGTTCAACTGATCTCCTCAGTCCTACGGGTTTTTTGTTTTTGATGCATCTTTCTTAGTACTTACAACCTTACATCCTGGTACAAAATGTTTCAGACTCACCTTGATTACTTTCCCTGTCTCAGATCTGCACAGAGTCCTTTAACTGGGCAATAACTTCTATATTTTGCACATGTTCAATGTGTGGGGTGTCACTGCACCTAGGACTTTTCAGTGGACAAAGCCAAAGACATCTTTTTAAAAAACAAGAATTTACACTGACAACTCCTGTTCAAATCAAATACAGATTTCTTCATCGTCACCAATTTTACACAGGTATATGCAATTAGCTATGTTCAAACTCCTGGTTCTCAATTTCAACAAAGTATTTATTCAGTACCTTAATCCAAAAATGGTATAATACCACACTGCCAAAAATAAACCTACTAAGTGAAGTTCAATATTCACTCAACAGCGCTTTTTGATCATATTTCAGTAAGGCTAGTTAAAATATGGATTCAAAGTTAAGGAATTATTTTTTGTATGGCAATATTATTAATTTTGTTTCTGTTTGAAAGATTTTGTTTCTGTTTGAAAGATTCCATTTTAGGATACATACTTCTTCTTTTTTTTTTTTTTTTAACTCAAAATCAACTTTGACTGAGGAAGTAGCTGAGCATGCTTGCTTAGGATGTAAAAGGCCCTAGGTTTGATCCATACATGACAGACAGACAGACAGACAGATGCACAAACAAAGTCGACTTTAATAAAGTAAAATACATACATGAGAGCACAACCATTTTAAGTACTGCATACAGTTCAATATGTTTTGATAAATTTATATACCAGTCTAACAATGGTGCCACCCCAATCAATATAAAGACACTGACATCACAAGCTTTCATGCCCTCCTTTGGATTCACTTTTTTATCACATCCCAGCCCTAGTCAACCACCAATAACCCCAACTGTCACTACAAATTTAGTATAACCTGTTCTAGTATTTCATATAAGTAGAATCATATGCTATATACTTTTTCTGCTAGACTATTTCATTTAGCATGTGAAGATATTCAGGTTGTTACACTCACAACTAGTTAATTCCTTTTCATTAAACTGTATGAATATAGTACAATATGTTATCTATTCACATACTAATGACATTCAACCTGTTTCTGGTCAGGAGCTGCTAAGAATAAAGCTACTCTGAACATCTGCATATAAGTCTTTGGTAGATAAAAATTGTGTTTTGCTCTGTTTTGACAGTATTAGGAAGCGAATCTAGGTTCTCACATGTTAAGCAAGCGTTCTACACTGAGCTATATTCCCATTACAAAGCTTTAATTTATAAAGTATGCACAGTAAGAGATTAACAATAATCAGTAATAAAACAATTACTGTACTTTGAGACTATTAGTAAATAAGGGTTACTTGAACACTACTATGAAAACACAACAGGTAAGCTGGTGGCTACTAAAGGACTAATGAACAGGTAGCACATGCACTGGCCAAAGAGATGATTCATATCCTGGTCAGGATGGGGAAGAAAAGCTGGAGATTTTATCACACAGCTCAGAAAGGTGTGCAATTTAAAACTAAGGAAGTTTACCCTCTGGAATTTTCCACTTAATATTTTCAGACCAAAGATAACTGGATAAATGAAACAATGGAAAGTAAACCTATTTATCTATGGATAAAGGAAGTCTTCTATAATATTGTCAGCTTATAACTTTTTTTCTTTTATTAAAAACTTTAGGGCTACAGTGTACACAAGGCCCTATGTTTGATCCCCAGCGCCAAAATCAAAACAAAAAAATCAGAGTTTTTCAGATTTTGAATTATTTGTATGGCCTTTACTAATGGCTCATCTCTGATCTAAAACTCCAAAATATGGAACGCTCCAAAATCTGAAAATTTTTTAGTTATTTCAGTACCTAGAATTTTCAGATTCTGGATGAGAAGTATTCAATCTATATTAACTTTTCTACTTAGATCTATGATCCATTAGGAGTTAATTTTTTTTTTTTTTTATATCGGTACTGGGGATCACACTCACGACCGCCTGCTTGCAAGGCAGGTCCTTACGCCACTGAGCTAAATCCCCAGCCCCAGGAGTTAATTTTGGTATATAGCATACAGTAAGATTTGGAAGAATTATTATTAGTAGTAGTGTTGGGGATTAAACCTAGGGCCTCACACATGCTAGGCAAGCACTCTATCACTGAACTATACCAACTCTACACTTCACATTTTGTAGATTTCATTCTTTACTTACTGAATTGCCTTTGCATTTCTTACAAAAGTCTACTAATTAAGTTCAGTGGCACTAGGAGGCTGTAGCAGGAAGAATATGATCTGGAGCCTAGCTTGGGCAATCTGAGTGACTTAGCAGTTGAGAGTCTGTTTCAAATA